TTTTATCACTTGGAAAGCCCTCTGGCCAAACACAACACCTCAACGAGAGGTCATGAGTAGATACTTAAGCTAACAGGTAGAAAGCAAACACGTGAGTTGTTGTTGAGCAAGTTCCTTGTGTTGTCATGTATTCAAGTACTAATCCACCATTATTATATTCTGCCGATTCCTGCTCTTATGTGGATGCAGCCGTTCCGTTTTCAGGGTTTCCTCAGACGTCGTCTCCCACACGCCCACAATTTTTATCCGGTACCAGCACCTTCGTATGACGTAGGGCTTGTATCACCATGCACATTTCCTCCCGCACTAGCACCTTCTCACTTCGTCGGTCAGGAACCAACATACTGCGTTACCCCAGCAGTGGGAACATCCTACTACGTCGGTCAGGAAGCAACATCTTATTCCGCCGCTACACCAGCACCCTCGTATTACGTGGATCAGATTGTACCGCACACTATCCCCCCACACCACAACTTTCAGGTTACGTAGTCCCCGCCCGTGATCCTGTCCCGGCTTCTCCGGCAGAAGGAAGTTTTCAGAGAGAAGAACCGTCACAGCAACGGTTCAAAGGAGAGCGACAGGTAAGCAAACAAGGGAAGCACAGTGTCCTAATCTATAGGATTCCAGGCACGCAATTTGCGTACACTTTTGCGAGGAAGTGTGCGTATAAAAACGTGGAGGTCTACCGTTGCGTACAGTGCAGGAAGGAAAGCAGAAGACATGGTGAAGATGTCCTGAGAGATACAATAAAAGTGAGGGCAAATCAGCTGGATTTCGTGAATGTATCCGGCAATTACTTGTCAGGTAATCGGTGACGAGTTTCTGACGGATCCGTGCAGACTGGACCATGAATGCCGACCAGAAAAGTATGTCAGAGAAAGAGGAGACAGAGCCGTCTACGAGGTGAAGTGTAGCCATCTTCAAAGGCAGTTCAAGAAGAGACTGAAGATGCTTTTCAGGAGCTGAAACATGTTAGGGAGGACTCCAAATACGCTGCAATAAAGCCAGTGCAGGTATTTTTCGATCTCGTGGCCCAACGTCGAGAAGCGGACAACGGTAGTCTATCTGTGATATTTCGCAGTGTTGCTTCCTAGTTTCACATTGCTAT